AGTATCCAACGATATTTTACCTCAAAACTACTTGGCTAAGAATGTAAGAAAGACTACATCTCAAGGTGCATGATTCTACAACTTGACCCACTCTGGACAAGACGACTAATTATAAACCTAGAATTCTTCTATAAGGTCCTACACAAAATATCATTCTCAGACAGTAAGGACATACAATTCGCACAAGAAGGCTCTTACGATCTGCGTAGCCAAACTTGCACAGTGACAATAAAAGCCTTTAAGTCAACACTCCGCGAAAACTTCTTCACAGTCATGTATTCTAAAATATGGAACAATCTGCCCCTAGAAGTCAAGAACTGCCATACGGTTATGAGTTTCAAACGCTCTCTGTACACACTATTTCACTCTACTGATTATATAAATAAACTATTTATTCCTAGAACGAATCAACTATCAGTCTATTACAGTACCTAAACGCGCTTAAATACCTTTACTTCTCTAAAAACTATAAATAAACTAGTAGCATAAATGCATAAAAAGACTTAGTAGAAATAAATATCTGTTCATCAAATTACAATGTACAACGAATATAAACATATAAGTCCCACTCCACATACTTTTTCTCCGCTCTCTGGTACATTTCTCTTGTATTTGCGTTGTAGTACAAGTTGCATTGATCTACATTCCGACTGAAGCTGAGAAACAATTGAAGTCACTTACTCATATATTATCCCTCAAGGTTTGGCTAGTAATGGCCTAGCATACCTGATGAAATCCACTGTCACCATAACAAGACGCTGTACAGCATCTTATACAAGCACTGTCAACGATCTAAAATGGTTTTTATATAGCTTTCTACGTGTTTATCAACTTACTCGTACGGAGCAACCATGCAGTGACAAATGGCAGGCTTTGGGTGACTTGAGTGCAGTAAAACAAATCTGCTTGACAATGACCAATATTAATCTGCATTCAGTTGAATTCACATCTGCTATTACTTGCAATAAAAATGATGTCAAAATCATACAAATGGGCGAGGGTATAGGCTATGACGTTTTAATTTCTCTGCGCCTCAGGTTTTCTCGTCTTTCATTGGCTGGAACAGTGGCGGTAAGTTTATATTTGATTTTGGTAGGTAGGTGATGTCGTGTGCAGCCCTGTGTGCTTGCGTCGTGCATTGTTTCTATGCAGATTTGATGAATGTAATTGTAAACTTAGACTTATAAAACGTGTTTTTCTTCTTTTTTGGTGCATGTACAAGGCTTGGTTTGTCATACACTCGGTTGTTTGGCCTGTCGGTTGCCTGCGATGTCAACGAACCCGTGAGTTTTTGTGCTTTTCTAGAATTTATTGTTTCGTGCGGTATATCTTGATGGATATTGATCAGTCATGCATTTGAATATTGCTTTGTTTACTGAATTATCTTGAAATAGTTGTGACATAGATGGATGCTAATTGACAAAGCCTTTTTTGAAGTTATAAGAAAGAGGCACAAACAGCGAAGAAAATTTTCTTTTCGACGATTCATTTTCATGAGCTGTACAATCGTAATTATAATTAACAAAGAAATCTTTAGACCAATCAGATACTGGTAAATTTTGTCCTTGGAAAATTGTATTACATAATGTAAGGTGTAAGAAGGGATGACTAATTGTAAGTTAGAAAGGAGACAGAAGTTGGCATGACGTAATAAGTGTGAGATAGTGAATAATCAATAATCTCGTGTAAAATGGACAGGAACTAGTGGAAAGGCTATAAAGTGTTTTTGTATAAAATATGTATGAAAAACAATGTTATTAATAAACAGTAATAGAGTGGTAATAAAATGTGGATGATGGGGACAAAATGATAAAAATATTAATAAAATAAAATAATAATGGTAATAATAGTGAACTTACATAATAAAGGAAGGAAGCAAAATTGTGACAAGAACTTTACTCACAATTTTGCTTCCTTCCTTTATTATGTAAGTTCACTATTATTACC